GCCCGCCGCCGCCGCCGCAGCGTCCCCCGCCGCGCGCCGGGCCATGCGGAGAGCCGCCGGCATGGAGGACTTCGCCGAGGAAGAGGAGCCCTGGTATGACCAGCAGGACCTGGAGCGGGGTGAGTACAGGGGGGACGCGAGAGCGGGGTGCGCCGCAGCCCCTGCCTGCTGCTCCATTGTTGGGCGGCAGCACCCCGGGAAGGGCTGGGCTGGGCGCGCTTGGACTCCGAGGGGTCATGTGTCCGGAGAAGGGGCCATCTAACGGGGATGCTGCCTACATTGACTCGGACAGGACGGACAGAGATCTGCAAAAGTGGGGGGCGTGCCTCATCAGTTCCCTAGATGATGGGCATCCATCGTCTTTTGCCAGCCCCCCTCATCTGTAGGCAGTTGGGGCCCAGGGCTCTCCTGTCCCGGAGACTTGGACACCGGCTGCCTTAGGAAGCTGGAAGGTGGCTGCTCCGGGACGTTTGACCGGGAGAGGGTGGTGTATGTTCTTCTGTCCTAATTCCAACAGCACCTTCCCTGCCATATTCTTGAGTTCCAAGACTCCCGAAAAGTTCCCCCAACTCCCTCACCCCCTGGCAGGGAGGGAGTGCGGGGACCCTGCCGCGGGGCCTCATGTTTGTGGCCCTTCCCTTTCTCGTATTCCACCCTGCCATGGGGGAAAGGCCTTTGCCCTAAAATAATGGGGAGCCACCTCCCCCTCCTCCCCCCATGTGGGAGCAGAGAGGGTGGCTGAAGGGGGGTTAGAAGCTGGTGATGAGGTGGCCAAAGTGACATCACTCCAAGTAGGGGGCGGGGCAGTCAGCACAGGAAGAAGGAGGAGGCTGGAGAGGGTCAGAGCCAAGGCCAGCTGGAGTGGATGGAGCCGCCCAGTTCTCCCCCAAAGCGCCTGGTTGTAGGACTGTCAGGGCTGGGGGATCACATGCCCTCAGAGGGTGACCTCCCACAGTCACCAGCAGGCAGGCAATCTAGTCTGGCACAGTTTGTGCCTCAGGCCCTGTCTGGGTCTCTCCTTCCACTAATAGGTGCCCGGCTGTGCCCTGCCCTCTGGTCTCTTCCCAGATCCTTAAAACCTCTGTCACTCCACACCAGCATATGGCAGATACGACTCTACCCTTGTGCTGGGCCTCCAGGACCACTATGGGACAGGGACTCTAGGCTGAACCCTGCATTCTCCACGCCCCAACTCCCCACCACTGACTGTGACACCTCCTCCTTCATCCTGACACTATCCCCACTTCATTTCCCACAGCAATAGGGCCCCCTCTAAGTGACATCTTTGCTCCTGGATGGCCCTGCATCTCTAGGATGGCCTCTAGACTGATGGAGAAGGCAGATTTATTTAAAAAAATGTGGCTTCTCCGGCATCATGGGTGTAGAATGCAGTGGGAGGGCTTCATGGAAGAGGTGGACCTAGGAGGAAGCATTTGAGGCAGAAGTCTTGGGAAGATGGCTTCTCTGGGAGAAGAAGTTGATGCCTACATTGCTGCTGTCTCTTTAATTCCTGCAGCCCTAATGAGGACGCTGGCTCTGTGCCCAGCCCAGATGTGGGAAGAGGGAGCTGGGGAATATGGATGGGAGCTGCACTGCTTCCCAGGAGCGGTGGGACGATACCAGCAGGCCGAGTGCCTGTGCTGTAGGCCAGTGTCATGATGGGCTTGGCAGGCTCCCCTCCCTGGCCCGGCCAGTCTGCCCTGTAGCTGTCCTCCTTGCAACATCTCCAGAATAGCCAGGGCCGGGGGGATAAGGATAACCAGAAATGAGACAGGAGCAGGAGAAGTCGGAGCTGCTCACCAAACAACTGGTCGGGCTCCATGGGCCAGGTGTGCACTGAGCCTGTGAAGAGCACACCTGGCCCCTGTGGACTCCGTATTCCAGGAGAGGTGATGGACATGGGAACAAAGGGACAACTGGGACAGAGTGGGATGGATTCTGCAGCGACTGGCCCTGCCACCAGCGAAAGTAGGGACAGGAAGCTCCCCCCTTAAACTGGAGGAAGAATAGGGGTCTGTGAACAGAGGAAGATGCAAAGTGTTCCTTCATCCCACGTGCTTTGGCCTTGTTACCAGGAGGGCCCAGTCCTTGGAAAAGGACATCAGGCTTGGAAAAGCAGGGGGTCAGTGAAAAAGAGGGAGTCCCTCAGCAAGCTGGACTGACCAGTGGCTGCTGTATGGGCTTCAGCAGAGTGGAGATTGTGCGGGTGGTTCAGGGTCGGGCAGGGGAGGGTCACTGTGGGCCAGAACCGACTCGACCACCTAACAGTAAGAGCAGGCAGAGGAGATTGGAAGGCTCTAGTGGCAGCACGTGTGTACCAAGACATGAGGTGGTGTGAGTGTACCCCAGGAGGCTAAGCCACCCAGAAGACCTCCTGGGGTCTGAGATGGACCACACCCATAGGTCCAGCACCTTCTATTCTTGGGAACTCCTGGGGGTCAGGTGGGGACAGCTAGAAGGTGAGGTGGTGGGTGCAAGACGCAGGTTGTCACCCCGCTTCCCTGCCTAGGTTCCCTCTGTCCAGATACCCCGGGGCCTGCATTCCCTGTCTGCTTCTCCTGCCCGGAGCACACGCCCCACCCTCTCCCCGATGTAGCTCTGGCCTGGTCGACAGAGGTGGTTGGGACAAGTCTTCCCCACCTGGATTTTTGCTGTCTTTTCTCTGCCCACTGACACCAGCATCTGCAAAAATAGAAAAAGTCATTAATTATTAAGCACTGGTGCTGTCCCTGCCCGCCTTCCTCCCCCACCAGGGGGACCAGGCATGGCTGGCCTATGGGCATCTTATTCCAGGCCTAGTCAGTCAGTCACGGGTTTGAGGACAAGCTGCCGACCTCCCCTCTGACCTTCCCTTTGTACCCTGACCTTGGGTCCTCAGCTGAGTGGGGAGAGCTCAGACACTGTCCTACCTCCCCCTGCACACCCCAAAGGGAGCCTCAAGTCACACCCAGGAGACCCTTGCTGACTCTTCCCTGCAGCACGCCCCAACCTACCCTGACTTCAGCCAGTGTGAGGCAGGGGAGCCCGTTCAGGGATTCTCAGAAAGGACATCCCTGTGCTTCCTAGCCAATCCCTTTGCTAATCCCCGAGAGGTACAGGGCAACCTTTCAGAGAGAAAAGCCCCCTAAGGAGACCCCAGGAATCCTGAGCCCAGCAGAGAGCTGCCAGCCCAGGTACAGCCGGGTCTGCCCAAGCCCAGCTGGGTCCACCCAGGCCCAGCCGAGTCCACCCAGGCCCAGCCAAGTCCAGTGTGACCATGAATCTGGCGGTCACAGGCTGTTTACTGACTTACTTCCTGCTTAGCTAGCTCCTTCATTCTTCCGCTTCCAGGCCTCCCTCCCCCTCAAGTCCTGCACCTCCTGGGAGCCTAGAGCCATTTCCTGCCTCAGCTGCCCGGTGTCTTGGCCCAGCCCCTGGCTCCTCTCAGTCCTCCTGCTCTTCAGTTTTGAGAGTCCTCCCTGACCCCTCCTGGCAGCGCTGACCAGCTTAGCTTGCACTGTGATCCAATTTCTCTGAGATTCCCGCCCCCCCCCCACCTGTCCATCTCCATCCCGGAATCAGGAGGTGACCTGGCCACATCTGCCACCTTTGCAGGGCGCCCTGTTACACACTTGTTTTAGTGTGTCCTGTTCCCCCAGCAGCACGCAACCCAGAGGAAAAAGCATAACCTGCTGTTTTTTCTGAGACTTAACCATATTCTGGCTCTGTGACCTTGAACTCTGAGTTAGGCTGCAGAAGCTCAACTCAAGAAACTGAGGTGAAGCCCTGTCTCTGACGTCAGCACAGATGACAGCCTCCATAGCAATGGCTTCATAAAGGTTCACCCCATAGTTTCCAGTGGGGAGAAAATGTATAGATTGTGTTTGTCACTTACTGTTTGCCAATAACCAAGTATCTGGTTGTAGGAGATATGAGGGCCCTGAGTGGCACAGTTAGTACTTGGTTACTAACCAAAAAGTTGACAGTTCAAACCCACTCAATGGCACAGTGGAAGAAAGGCCTCATATATAAAGAACAGATACAACGTCAGGGAGGCCAAGTCTGACTTCTACTAGCTTCATAAAGGGGAACTGTCCCCATCAATAATATTCATAGTACCAAACAAATAGCAGCTTGGTCAGCCCTGCCACCTCACATGCTTCTGCACCTTTTCTACCAATCATTGTGCCCAAGGTTCACTGCAAATTTACTTACCATTGTGGAGTTTATTAGGGAAAGAGGTTGGGGAGTGGGGGAGGCAAAGAATATCATACAATACAAATCCACATTTAGCCCAGCAGTCCAAGCCAGATTAACAAGGCACAATTCCTCAGCTAGTTCATAAGTTCCCTAGTAACAAGTGAAAGTCTAGGTTTAGTTCAGCAGCATAAATAAACGTCTGGTTTCCTCAGTTGTCCAGCAAACTTTATGTCAGAGCATTTACAAGTCAGCTTTTCCCTTTATCATCCATCCAGCAAAATCTTTAACTGTGGCTCCATCTCTAGGGTTCCTCTGGTTATGCCTTGCTACGGTCTCTTCACAGTGTCTCCACAGTGCCACAGTCTCTTCACCCTCTCTCCACCAGCTGCCTCTCACAAGTGTAGAAAGCGCTCTTTTATATTGGTCCCACAGCTCTTGACGATTTGCAAGACCATATGTCCGCAGTTAAGGTAGCTGGAGGCCATGCCCCCAGTGGAGGCTAATGCAATGGATAGAAAAGCCCATTTTCAAGGTTTCTGACACCACACTTGGCAACCTGCTTCTGTGAAGATTACAGTCAAGCTCTACCTTAAGCGCTGTGCTGACTTAAGAACTGTCTGTATGGGAACAAGCTGACAATGGCAACTCACTAGATAGGAAACTTAGGGGCCAATGAATCTAGGTTAATGGGGGAGGCATAGTTTGGAAAAGGAGACATTTGAAGAATGTAACCAATGTTGCTGTACTGTGCATGTTCAAACTGTTGGGTTGGTGCGTGTTCTGTGTAAAAACAGCAAAAGAGCCTAGGAAACTCTGGAGCTCAGTCTACTCTGGAATTGAGGGGGCCACCAGGAGCAGAACTGGCTTGATGACAACAAGCTATCAAAACACCTGGTTGGTTTGGAGAGGTACTGGTGCCTGCTGTCCTGCAGTGGAGAGGAGAGAGCCAGGGTAACCAGGGCTAAAGGGCCACCCAAGTTATCGCCAACCCCACATCACACAGGGCTGTGTTCAGTGAATTTACAACCATTGTGGGCACTTTTGTCCAGTTGCGAGTTAACTGATTCATAGGGTGCTGGTGTTTATGCCGGCTTGCCTTGATGTCTTCATCAGACAATTCCATTGCTCAAGGCTAAAGGCTCTTGTTTGTAATTTAGTTTTTTTTTTTTTTTTTGTAGCTAAGGTAGGTGTTTAGGGAGCTGTAGTGGGTTAAGAGTCGTGTTTTCAACCCAAAGGCACATGGTACAAACCCACCAGCTGCTCCTCAGGAGAGAGGCCATCTCCTTTCCTGCGATTTACAGCCTCTGATAACCTACTGGAAAGTCAGCTGAGTCAGTCCAACTCGAGGGCAAATGAGTTGCTGAAAGCAGGTGATTAGGAAGCTCTGGTGGCACAGTGAGTAGAGACCTGTGTTGCTAAGCAAAGGCACATGGTACAGGTTCAAATCCTCCAGCAGCTTCAAGGGAGAAAGATGGGTATTCTCCTCTGTGAGACTTACAGCTTCCGAAAACCCAGTGAAGGGTCAGCTGTGAATCAGTTCTGACTCGGGGCGATACGTTGAGTTGAAGGTCTTGTGTCTGGGGACGCTGCAGAAGGTTTCCCAGGATAAGCAGCAGAGCCTTGCTCCGTCATAGCCTTGGGTTCTTCCTCGTCCAGGGAACACTTCCTCCTGTGACATCTGGGCATGGGGCCCACCTCCAGGCTGGGGCTTTGGGCTCAGAGTCTCCACTCAGGAGTCGGCAGGCTCAGATCCTTACCTGGGAACAGACTCCAGGTTTGGTCCTGAAGACCAGCGTGGCCCTGTGCTCACTCCCTTGACCTCTTGGCTGGGCCCAGCAGCTGGCCAGGCCCCTTTGGCTCTAATAAGACAATGTCCACCCACACCCAGCATGGCAGAAGGAGACCCGAGGCTCTTCCCTTCGCAGCCCACTGAGAGTCGCTGCTTTCTGCAGTCGTCCAAGAGGGAAACCTCCACCGAGGCCTGCTCGATGCCAGCAGAGGGCTCAGCTAGAAATATTTATGTATTTATGCGGGAAATGTGCAGAGCGGCCTCCACCTTGCAGGGACCCTACGATTCCTAAATATGAAAGTAACGACGGTCCCTCTTGAGCTGAATCCAGGGCCACATTCTGCAGCCCCATGGAGTTAACATTAGCATCTCACTCTGGGTTTTCACGACCAGCCTAGATTGTGGACTGTTGTTAGAAACACTTGCATGGTATGAAAAGAACTCAGAGCTTTCCTGGACAGCAGTATACTACATGAATCAAAGAGGCGCACCTCATCCTGGCATTTCGGTTTCTAGGAAAGAATCCTAAAGAAACAGGCAGTGACTTACACAAAGAATTATTTTTTCTCTCTCTTCTGTTGTAGTGAGTTACACATTCCTTCAGTTTCTCTCTGTACAAGTCAGTAATGCCGATTATGTCCTTCAAGTTGTGCAGCGTTCTTGCACAAAGGTTTTTTTGTACAAGACAGTTACTTAAAGATTGGGTTATTGTGGAGAAAAAGAAAATATTTTGTATTTTTATTTTAGGGATATTTCCCTAAAGATTCAGTAAAGCTTACTTAGGGACACCAACTCTGGGTTCTTGGCTTAGTGGTAAGGAACTGTGCAAAAGGTACGTGATTCAAATCCACCAGTTGCAGGGGAGCTCTGGTGGCCTAATGGCAAGACACTGCACTGCAATCCCAGAGGTACATGGTTCAAGTCCACCAGATGCTCTGCTGGAAAAGGAGGGGGCAATCTCCTCCTGTACCAGTCAGATCTGATTTGACGGTACACGTAAAATAATACAATAAAAATAAAAAATTTTTAAAAAATCCACCAGTTGCTCCTCAGGAGAAAGATGGGCAGTTTCTTCCTATACATTAATTAACTGTCTGAAAATTCGCTGGAGGGTCAGCTGTGAGTCAGTTCCAGCTTGACGGTACACAACAACAACAACAACTTAGGAGCATGGGTAACGGTTCCCAGCAGAGCTTAACCTTGCCCTGTTGTCCGCCATCCGCACAATCTCTCATAAGCTGGAGCCCCTTTTTACAGCCACTGTGTCAGTCTGTCTTGCTGAGGGCCTCTTCCTCTCACCCCTCCCTTTCTCGGCATGATGCTTTTTCTCCAATGATTGGTGCAGGAAAACCCTGTGTAGCAATGCTGCTGTGTAGCACATGGGGTCTCCAAGAGTTGGCATTAACTAAAGAGCAGCAGTTTGGGTTCTTTGTTTTATACAATAAAGTGTCAGTCTAAAGACTAAAGTATGCTTGACCCAAGCCATGCTCTTCTCAGTTACTTGCTGTGCATCAGAGAGCTGGATGACTAAGGATGACAGAAGAAGAATTGATGCCTTTGAGTTGTAGTGCTAGAGAAGAGACTTGAGTATACCATGGACCGCCAGGAGAACAAACAGGTCTGTCCTGGAGAGGGTAAAACCAAGCTGCTCCTTGGAGGCAAGGATTTTGAAGCTCTGTCTCACATACTTTGGGCATTACCAAGAGGGGCCTTGGAGAAGGATATCCTGCTTGGAAGGGTTGAGGGGCAATGCAGGAGAAGATCCTGGATGAGGTGGATTGACACAGTGACTGAGGTAACAGGGGTAGATGTGTCAGAGACAGTGAGACCGGTTCAGGGCAGGGCGGGGTTCAGAGCTATTGTACACAGGGTCACTATGAGTCGCAGGTGACTTGACGGCACTAACAACAATAACAACCCAGCCTGTAAAAATGTCAGAGGCTTCTGCCCACCAAATCTACTGGCCTTGCGTTGATTCTGACTCCCTGGGACCCTCCACCAGGTCTCCCGGGCTGCGCAGCTGTGGAGGGAGCCGTTCTGCTCTCTCTGTGGGGTTTTGGATCCGCCAGTGACCCCCAAGGAGGGAGACGGGCACTTTCCTCCTTTGAGGTACAGCCTCGGAAACCCACTGGAGCTCAGCTGTGACTTGGTTCTGAGTTGATGGCAATGAGTGAGAAATCTTTATACAAGGAGACTGCCTGTCTTTTTCCATGCAGAGTGACTGGAAGATTCAGACTGACAACCTTCGGTTAACAGTTCAACACACTCCGCTGTGCCTCCCAGTCTCCCCAATAGATACATGCGGATATACCCAGGAAAAATACCCAGGCCATGTTAATGACATGAGAAAAGTAGGTATAAAAAATAAATATCCTTTCCAAGGCCCTCCAACTTCCCCAGAAGGAGCTAAGCTGTCCGTGTCAGCTGTGCCAGGGTGCTTTGCCCGTCCATCTGTGGAAAGTTATATCCCTTTCCTTTAAAAAAGCATTTTTGTAAGCCTGTTCTGTGCCAGGCATTCCTAGGCAGTGGGGACAGCAGTGAACAAAACAGAATTCCTTGTTTCCTTTGAACTTGAAGCTCTGATGTCCCCACTGCCCTCCTATTGAATCAGTCCTACTCCTTGTGATCCCCCCATCAAGTTTCCAAGGCAGTTAATCTTTAAGAAAAAAGACAGCCTATCTTTCTCCCCCAGAGATGCTGCAGGGCTTGAACCATCAGCCTCTGGGTTAGCAGCCCCATAAATAACCCCCTCTGCCACCACGTCTCCTTTGCCTTCCACGCGGGACATTCTGACTTGATTCCCAGTCAGCATACTTTGCGTGCAGACTCTGCCTGTCATTGGAGACTTGCCAGTTGCTATGACACTAAACAAGTTCAGCAGAGAGCTTCCAGGCTAAGGTGGATGAGGAAGAAAGGTCTGCCCATCTACATGTGGTCAGCCCGTGAAGACACTGTGTTAGAACAGGACACTGGCCAGCCTGCAGCGCAGCCCAAGGCCGGCACAGGGCCCAGCAGCATTCATTCGGTTTTGCATGGGGTCACCATGAGTTGGAACAACTCGACAGCCACACCAGCAACAATTAGTTGAATCATTAAAATAAAATATGCCTCAATTGTTTGATGATTTTTCCGAATAGTGCATGATGCTTGAACGCTAAAGAGGAAAATCGAGCAGCTGAGAGAGTACAGGGAGTGTGCAACCCAGTGACTGGGGAAGGCTTCCCAGCGGATGTGACAAAGTGTAGACTGAACGGAGGAGAGATAGCCTCGGCGGTCCTGGAAAAGAACATTCCAGGCCGAGGTGACAACTGGGCCAGATACCTCATTCCGGGCTTTTGTCTCCTTCCAAACCTGGGGACCCTCTGACAGCCATGCCTTGTATCTTCATTGTCTTGTGGTCTCCAGAGCCCAACCCAGAATTAAAAGGGTGCTCTGGTTTTGTGGGAGCCCCGGTGGTGCAGTGGCTAAGCACTCAGCGGCTGATCCAAGGATCAGTGGTTTGAACCCTCTGGCTGCTCCCATGGCAGAAAGGGGAAGCAGTCGACTCCTGTAAAGGTTTCAGCCTCGGAAGCCCGGCGGGGCGGTTCTGTCCTGTCCTGTCTGCGTCGGAACCCGACGTGATGGCACCAGCCTGCGGGCTGACTGTGTCCTCACGCTGCTATCCTCTCTCCTGCCCGCCCCTTCCCCAAGACTTGCACCTGGCCGCGGAGCTGGGAAAGACGCTGCTGGAGAGAAACAAGGAGCTGGAGGAGTCTCTGCAGCAGATGTACTCCACCAACGAGGAGCAGGTGCAGGAGATTGAGGTGAGCCCACCAATGGGCAGGTGCAGGAGATTGAGGTGAGCGGCCGGGGGGCCTGCAGCAGGAAGCACCTCTCAGCAGGCACAGATTACAGCTCACCACCTGCACAACTGTTCTAGGCGGCCCTGTTGCACCATCTTCATGTACACACACGTGCACACACAGCCCTCCGGTGGACGCATACCCTAGCAAGCCTGCCTTTATTTTTGTTTGTTAGTCTCTTACTCTTTTTTTATTATTATAATGAAAATTTACAGAGATTTTTGGATTTCCATTCGTTCACTGTTGCACTTTTCTCCCTGCCCATCCCTCCCCTCCAGTTTGTTCTTCTCTTTGAAAAGTAAAAGAAAAACTCTTTCATTGTTACGCAATCCCTCCCCCCAAGTCCACTCCACTGTGCAGCCTTCGTTCTGGACTCCTGTCATGACAATAATACCTAATCACATATCCCTTTTAAACAGTTCTCTCCCTCATTTGTTTCAATGCAGTATGTATAATTTATCCCCTCTTCCTCAGTGTCCCCCAAACCGCGATGTCAGTCCCATTTTACAACAGTGGCACCATACAGTATTTGTCCTTTTGTGACTGAGATACTTCACTCAGCATAATGTCCTCCAGGTCACCTATTTTGTATAATATTTCATGAGTGCCTTGTTTTTGAATGCAGCGTAGTATTCCATTGTGTGAATATACCACAGCTTCTCTATCCATTCGTTTGTTGATGGGCACTTGGGTTGTTTCCACTTCTTTGCTATTGTGAACAACTGTGATAAACATGGGTGTGCATAAGCCTTTAGAAGTGACAGAAGGGTTTAGGCAGAATTACTCCATACCTGCTCTAAAGGGCCACTCGATCTCCCTGTCCCCCAGTACCTGACCAAGCAGCTGGACACGTTACGACACGTCAATGAGCAGCATGCCAAAGTATATGAGCAGCTGGACGTGACAGCCCGCGACCTGGAGCTGACCAACCAGAAGCTGGTGCTGGACAGTAAGACTGCCCAGCAGAAGATCCATGGGTGAGGGCTGAGCGAGAGTTGGGCACGGGTTATGTGAGAGGTACCAGGGTTGGGTGTGCAGACTGGTGTCCCTCTTGGAACCTGGCTGGTGGAGAGTCTGCCTTTGTCAGTGCCACGTGGCTTAGCATCCCTATCCAAATGCCACTTTAAGCACAGAATCCACACCAGGCTCTGCTTTAGGCACTGGGATACAGAGATGAATGAACTCCATCCTGCCCTCTGGAAGCACAGGCGTGTGACTCCTACAGTGCAGGGGGATAAGGATACAGAGCGTGGTGGTGGACAGAGGGGGGATTGGTGCAGCCTGGGAGGTAGGAAAGGAGGGGGTCCTTGAAGAGACAGTTCCTCCATCTGAGCCTTGTGCGGGAAGCACATTTCAAAGTTGCCTGTCTGCTGCCATGCCTGCCTCCCTCCATCTGTAGGGAGCTGGGGACACACAGAGAAAAGTTGGCCCCAGCCCCTTCAAGCACCGCCGTGTGTGTCCCCTGTCTCATCCCCAGGCTGACGGAGACCATTGAGCGCCTGCAGGCTCAGGTGGAGGAGCTGCAGGCCCAGGTGGAGCAGCTACGGGACCTGGAGCAGCTGAGAGTCCGCCGGGAGAAGCGGGAGCGCAGGCGCACCATCCACACCTTCCCCTGCCTCAAGGAGCTGTGCACCAGCCCCCGGTAGGCCAGGGAGGGTGGGCACTGGGCAGCGGAGGGGACGCAGCTTACAGGCCCTCAGAGAGACCCTGGTACAGCTGTTACCAAGCTAGCGTTGGCGGGCATTGATTTACCACAGCCTAAACGACAGAATTCTCATAGCAGCATGGGGAAACGTGGAAAAGGGAGCTCTGGGGGCTTAGAATTTACATTGGATACCAAGTGGGTGTTTTCGTAAAGATCTGGTAAGAAGCTGCGCTGCAACCTGAAAGGCACTCGGTTTGAATCCAACAGCTGCTCAGAAGGAGGATAGGCAGTTTCCTCCTGTGTAATATACTGTGTCTGACAACCCACTGGAGGGTCGGTTAGGAACAGTGTCAACTTGTGGCACTCAACAACATCCCCGCTGCTCAGATGAGAAATGTGAAGTCACATGTCATAAAAAAACCCAACCACTCAAACTAATCTCACTGCTGTTTCTGCCTCACGGTGACCCTATAGCACGGAGAACTCCATCGGGTTCCCAACGCTGTAAATGCTGCCAGGAGCAACCTGACTCTTCTTTCTCCGTGGGCCGGTGGTTGGCAGCTCACCATTTAACCCATTGCACCACCAGGCTCCTTTTAAATCCCATGTCACCCATTCAGTGAGATGTGCAGTCAAGATTCCAACCAGGAGGGAATCTACCGCTCCTCTCAGTTCCCAGGACATCTAAGACCATCCGACCTCTTAATGTAGAATGTATCTATGAGGTGGATTGATTCAGTGGCTGGGATAATCGGGATGGGAGTGTCAGAGACAGTGCGACTGGCACAGAACAGAGCGGAGTTTAGGGCTGTTGTACATAGGGTCGCTATGAGTCGCAAGCGACTCGACGGCACATAACAACAACAACAACATACCGGTATCTAGAGGGTGTTTCATGAAACTGTCCCTCTTGGGTAACTGAAGAGGGGTTAACAAAGAGGTACTGGCAGGGTGGAGAGAAATCAGGGGGCAGCGTCACATTCCAGCAACAGCAAGGAGAGTGACCATCATTAACGAGGTGAGGGTAGGGGGATATGGAGGAACTATGTGACCACATCTACCCAGGAAGAGAGCCTGGGGACACGTGCCCTGTGACCTCACCCCACTCCCGAGCTGACAACCTGTGGGTGTTTCTAATGAGGCAAAGAGTAGGGGGGAAGGAGGAACGGCGGAGACTAGATCAGGAAGCTGACTGCGCTCCGCTCAGGGCTTCAGCTGTGTCCACTGCCCCGTCCTCTGCAGGTGCGAGGATGCCTTCCGCCTGCACAGTTCCTCGCTGGAGCTGGGCCCGCGGCCCCTGGAGCAGGAGAATGAGCGGCTGCAGACCCTGGTGACGGCGCTGCGCGCACAGGTGGGCCAGGAGCGGCAGCGCAGGGAGCGCGCGGAGCGCGAGTACGCGGCGGTGCTGCAGGAGTACGCGGAGCTGGAGCGGCGCCTGGGCGAGCTGGAGGGCTGCCGCCTGCGCGTGCAGGAGCTGGAGGCCGAGCTCCTGGAGCTGCAGCAGATGAAGCAGGCCAAGACCTACCTGCTGGGCCGCGAGGACCACCTGGCCGAGGCCCTGCTGGAGCCGCTCACGCATGCCCCCGAGGCTGATGACCCCCAGCCAGGCAGTGGCGACCTGGGCGCCCAGGATGGCACCGCCTCTCCAGCCGCCTCGCCAGGGCACGCTGTGCGCAAGAGCTGCAGCGACACGGCACTCAACGCCATCGTGGCCAAAGACCCCGCCAGCCGGCACGCGGGCAACCTGACGCTGCACGCCAACAGCGTGCGCAAGCGGGGCATGTCCATCCTGCGCGAGGTGGACGAGCAGTACCACGCGCTGCTCGAGAAGTACGAGGAGCTGCTGAGCAAGTGCCGGCAGCACGGGGCCGGCGTGCGGCACGCGGGCGTGCAGACCTCCAGGCCCATCTCCCGGGACAGCTCGTGGCGGGACCTGCGAGGGGGCGAAGAGGGCTCGGGGGACGCCAAGGCGGGGGACAAGAGCCTGAGCCAGCACGTGGAGGCCGTGGACAAGCGGCTGGAGCAGAGCCAGCCCGAGTACAAGGCGCTCTTCAAGGAGATCTTCTCCAGGATCCAGAAGACCAAGGCGGACATCAACGCCACCAAAGTCAAGACCCCCAGCAGCAAGTGAGGCCTCCTCAAGGATTCATGGGGGGGGGGGTCCCTCTGCTCGGCCTGCAGCTATCTGGGCCAGGCATGGGGGTCGCTGGTCCTGCAGCCTGTCAGCTTCCGTGTGTCAGCCCCTCCCACCTGGGCCTGGGACCTGCAGCTTAGTTAGGTCTGCATGTGGGGTTCCCTCCCTGGGCTCCGGCATGGGGTCCCTCTCATTGGGCCTGCAGCCCACAGTGAGGATGAGATCAAGTGGCTGCTCCAGGGGTCTAGGAGGAGCGAGACCCCCTCCAACTTCCAGAAGTGCGGGGGGACCAGCATGAGTCCACCTGATGGGGAAGGTGGCCGACACGGCCCACTTCCCAGGAACTCTGGTCACCCCTGCTGCAGCCCAGAGTTTAAAGCCAAACCTCCCTTTCTCTGGTGGGTCTTCCGCTCTCCCTGCCTCCCACCCCTGTGGGTCCCCAGCCCCTGGCTCCCTGACCCTGTGCCTCTTTCTCAGCCTTGCAGCCAGGCTTCTGAAAGCCATTCTGGACCAGTTGACTTCTTTTCAAAGTTCTGATTTTTGAGAGATTAGCAATTGGAGGTCTCTCTGACCTTTGCCATCACTGGAAACACTTGAAGGGGGCCCCGGAGCCAGCTGTCACAGGTTCCGTGGGTTCTTGGACCACTCACTGCTTCCCCCCAGCCATTCCACAGCACCAGCGCTCCCACCCCAGGATCCGGGGAGGGGAGGCCTTAGCCAGGCCCCTGTAAGGCCCAGCCTCCCCTCTCAGGCCCTGAATCTCTACAAATGTAGCCAATCAGAGGCAGGGAAGAGGGTACCCTTAGCAGCCATACAAGTACCTTGCTTCTCCAGCTAGCCCCCATGGGTCCCAGCCCCTGAAATGCCTTCTGGGAGGCGGGCAGCAGGGAGTTCTCTCTGCATACCACCTTTGCTACACTGGGCTTGATCTGTGCACCTGCCCCCATCTCAGGGACCATGATGTCTCATTTACTCCCCTGCCACTCTTAGATTGCCCTGGGCATGTGCTACCAGCCCATGGTCCCAGCATCCACCTGCACACCTCCCCCATCCCCACCCAAACTGGGACCTGCCTGGTCCTCACCCCACACCAGAGAGTATTGGAATGGGGCAGGGTGGGAGACATGTTTTCCTGCATGTAAAATACCTGCTCCTAACTCCTTTTAGGGGGGCTTTTTTAGGCCCAGTTAGGGTCAGAGACTTAATCTTCAGTGAAGTCTCCAGGAAGCCAGGCTTCAGCTCCGAAACGCCTGGGATCCCAGCTTGCCAGAGCAGTCCCCAGGACTTCTCAACTCCCCTGTTGCCCACCCAAAACCCTAGAAATCAGGAGCCATGCATTCCGGTGGAAGGCGGTGGTCCTGGCCTTGGAGCCGGGGCCCAGTGGGAAACCTTCATGCCTTATTTATTTCTAGTGGGTAAAGGGGTTTTCTTAACAAGCATGTCCAGCACCCTGGAGGTACCAACCGGCCCCAGGAGCACCTTGAGAGCCGGCAGCCCACTCCAACCACGTTACTTGGAACCTTTAGTCCTTGGGGGTCAGGCAGCTCCTGGCTTCCGGTGTCTGTGTCATTGATGACGGAGGGCATGGGGCAGGGGGAGAACTCTATCCTGTCCACACCCCAGCTCTGTAGCAGCCGAACAGCGTCACCTTTGGAATATACGCGAGAGAAATATATTTACAAATGCTTTATTCTCGTCTTTAATAAAAAATGCACCAGTATTCTGAAAGCAGCAATGATCCTTGAGCCACAGGTCCCTTGTCTGCGTCATGCCTGCCTCCCATCAGACACCTGAGCTCCACTTCCCCGCCCCCCCCAGGTGCCAGAGTCATCACCATGACTGGCAGCCAAGAAATAACTTCGTATTTGTTTGTGTATTCACTTGGGTAGGTCCCATTAGGACCGGCTGTCATCTGTGGCCTGGTTCTGTGACACCAGAGTGAGGTTGAAAGGACAACCTTTCTGTTCCCAGCAGATCCTGGACCGTCTGCCACGCAGGGACTCCTGGCAGCCAAGAAACCAAAGCAAACCATGGCCATCAAGTAGATTCTAGCACAGGGACCCTGGAGGAGAAGGTGGGGCTGCCCCATAGAGCTTCCAAGGCTCTGACCAATACAGGGCAGCTCAGGGGACCTAGACTGCAGGGATTTGTGCTGCTCACCAAAAGCCACACCTCTCTGGGGGTTTGAACCCAGCAGCAGCTCCTCCAGAAAAAGGAACAAACTACCAATGTAATTTGGAGACCCAATGGAGGGGCAGTCTTCAATTGATTCTGACTCAATGGCAATGAGTGATTTTTCAGCTTTTTTTTTTCTCTTTACTGAAGGAGAGCTCTAGTCTTGTATGTTCTGTGTGGTTCCACTAACTGAAATGCCCGTGGTTCAAGTCCACCTGCCACTCCTTGGGAGAAAAATTACCATCTTGTTAAGATCACCTCGGAACCCTGGCGAAGGGTCACCATGGGGCAGAATCCACTTGATGGCAATGAATAATCGTTACAGAACAGGCTGCCACATCTTCCTCCCGGGGGGGGGGCAGCTGTGGGCTCGGAATGTTGGCGCTTTAACCCCTGTGTCACCAAAGCTCCTCAACTAGCAGCCCAGCAACTCTAAATAGTAGATCGGGACATTTCTAGAGCAAGAAGTCTAGGATTCTTGTTCCCCTGTGTCTGGCACTGTGGTGCGGGGATAGTGCCTCAAGCCAAGAGGTGATGGGAAAATTGGGGCGGGGGGGGGGGTTGGTGCTCCATCAGCCAGGGCAAAAACTGGTTCTTGGCAAACAGAAAAGATAGATATACCATCTCTGTGGTAGTACATTTCATGGGGGTGGGAGGAGGGAAAATACGTGTCTAAGGAGGTTCCTTCGTGGGATGGGAGCATGACAATGGAATAGAGAGGTTGAGAAGCATTGACTAAAGGTGCGGGGTCACATTGTGGAAGGCCTGATGATTCAGCTGATTCCTGAAAGAGAAGGAACTGGAGCCCCTGGGTAGTACTCTCAGCACTATGCAGCTGTTACCAATAAAGGTTGTATGATCAAGTCCACCCGGAGGTGGCTGGGAAGAAAGGTCTGGTGATCTGCTTTTGGAAAACATCAGTCACTGTTCTGTGACACACACGAGGCTGTCATGAGTTGGAGTTGGTTGATTCCACAACAGCTGGGTTTTCTAATCGCTTTGTGTTGGGGGGTGTGTGTGCACATTTTGTGGGAGTATTTTATGATGGAGGAAGAAATGGTAATAAAAGGAGGAGGGACTAGCTTTTCTTCCCTCCTTCCTCTCTGCCCTGCGCCTCATCCGAGTCTTTAGAGGACTAAGGGGTGCGCAGGGGAAGGCCAGCCTCAGTTATTAGTGTCCACCTATTTGGGGGGAGCAGGTGACATCTGTCAAACCTGTTTCTCCCAGAAGGGCCCCCATTCTGGAAGGTTCATGGCAACAGCAGGTGAGAGGAACTTACCAGCTGCTCTCCTCTCCACCCCAGGGCAGCTTGTCTCTCCTCTCCTCTCTGCCCCCACCCCCCAAATCCAGGCCACCAGATGGCTGGAACAGGCTGTGTTTATTTGGGGCCATAGAAACCTGCGGCTTCCTTTTCCTAATGTTCTGGGTCAGGTTCGGGGCTGGAGCCCAGCCACTGAGAAATGATGCCACGGAAAAATTCCAACTTTGTTATTCATAATCCTGGAGCCCTCAACCTGGGCGAGTCCCTCCCTGGCTTTGCTCTCCTGAGCAGCTTATTATAGTAACCATGGAGATGCCTCTGTTCCCTCTGAGGCTGGGAAATAAGGCAGACGGAGGGGAACCCAGGGGACTCTACTCCCAGCCTACAGCCCAAAAAGAGAATGTCGGTTGCCATTCTCCTCATAGGTTTGGATTTACAAATCTGTATCCAGAAAGTGCTTCAATCCCTCTTGAAGGCTTTGCCGATGGTGCTGAGAAAAAGAAATCTTTTATCTGAGGACACTCTCCTGTTTGAAGCAGCCAGCACCCTCAGGGGCATTTCTTTAGGCAATTAGGCTTTTCCCTAAAACTCTGAGCTCTTTTTAAAGAGACAACCACCGTATTACTAATAATTACTACCACTGAAACCTTTGAGATCTGTTTTCATTTACCACCCTGCCTCTCAATGAAGGAACTTAATCACTAGTGTAGCTATTTTCAAACCTCTCTTGAACCTTTTTCAGAATGAGACTTCTCTGCTCTGGAGTTTACCATGCTTTCACAGCCCCAGAAAAGGACTCTAGTGAGCTGTGGTCTGACTTCTCCACCACCTTCTTCACTCTCCTCTTAACTCCTTCCTACCCAGAAGAAATCACACTCATTCCACAAGCTGTTTGCCCCACACGACTGCGGGCTGGGGATGTTCCACTTTTCAAAACCATTTCTTTGTGCGACCCACTTCCCACTCCTTCCATCTGGTATTTGTCCTGCAAGCATGGGTGTAAACCATTCCACCCACTGCCAGTGTGAGATCTGGGAATACGCACCTCATGCAAAGAGTCTGAGGTTACAAAAACTCAGCTCTACCAAAGCTCAACTTTCAAAAGTACATTTCCACAAAAGTTCTATTATCGATATTCAAGAGCTATTAAGAAACCTAACACCATGGCCCATGTCCTCTGCACTCAGGATACAGCTGTGGAGTTTACATTTCAGCTGAGAAAGCTTGGGGGAGGGGGGAAGAGGGACCTCTGCTGCCTAGTGGGTAAAAAATCTCACTGCAAACCCAAAGGTTGGCGATTCAAATCCATCAGCTGCTCTGTGGGAGAAAGATGGGCACTCTGCTCCCATGCCATTTACAACCTCTGGACACCGGCTGGAGGGTCAGCTATGAGTCTTTCCCACTTTATGAGTCAGTCAGGAAAAGCGAGGTGGAGAATGACTGTTCGTAGACCATCATCGTGAGTGGTTCCCCATGGTGGGCAGTGTTTGGTGAAGCTCCCCGATTAAAACAAGCTTGGAAGCAGGAGTAGCATCCACTTCCACAATAGCTTGCCTTGGGAAACCCTATCAATCTGGAGAAAGGCCAAAAGTTATACAGGAGGCATCCAGGTCTTTCATTCATAGGGTCGCTATGAGTCTCCTGTGACTCGAAGGCACTTAACAACAACAGTCCATCTGAGGCCACATGTTACAGAGTTGTTGCTAGTTGGCACTGAGTTGACGACGATGGTTGTGAATCTTGCCCTGTCCTCACTCACGGGTTTGAACCCTTTATTACAGTTACTATGTGGATCTATCTTGTTGAAGGTCCTCCTCTCTTTCGCTGATCCCACACCTTTCCCAGCGTGGTATTTTTTTCCAAGGACTAAACTGTTGCACCGAGTTGTCTGGACGGCAATCTCTACTGAAGCGGAGATCTCCAGGCCTTTCTTCCACTGGCGCCACAAACTGCACCATCTAGAGACTTTTCTAACTGGGAGACGGGCAGTAAATACTGGAAAAGGCTTGACAAAGGAATTTGGAAAAAGCAAAACAAAAATAAACTGCTCAAGAGGAGGGATGGGCAATGATCTCCCGTGCGGTTTAGCCTCTGGAAACCCTCTGGAAGTCAGCTCTGGGTCGGTTCCCACTCCACCGCACCCAGCAAACAGGAACAACTGAGCAGATGGAGAGAGGTTGACAGCCGGGGTTGACAGATTGCACTTGCACCAGGCGTGTCAAATGCACCCTACGGGAGAGAGATGGGCAGTCTCCCCCCATTACATTTTACAACCTCGAAAACCCAGTGGAGGGTCGTTGTGAGTGTGCGGCTGGCTGTTTTCGTTCGGGTTTCTTTCACAATAGGAGATTAGGAGGAGACTGTAAGGGAAGCAAGACGTGGTGATTCCGGGGAACGCGCGATCCGGGGCACTCTTCACTGGGAGGAGGTTCTCCAGCGAGCCCGCCCCCTGGTTCACGTCATGCCCACTGCAGAGCGACCACCTGGCTTCTCGCAAGGTATCTATCTACCTGGAGTCTCCAAGAGTCGCCAGCAGCAAGCAGATTGAGCGCGTTCCCTCCCCGAGGCGGGCGCCAAAACCGCGCGGAACTCAAGTCCGAGGGGAACGCGGGCCGGCGGACTCTGAGCGGCGGCGCCACCGGAAGTGCTCGCCACCGGCAACATGGCGGCCGCCTGGGCCCTTCGCTGGGCCGGGAGTCGACCTTGGCTGTTCCCGCCCTTCGCGCGCTGTCCCCGCCGGACTCTGCACAAGCACGTGGACGGTGCCGAGTTCCAGAGTATCTACAGCCTGGACAAGCTGTACCCCGAATCCAAGGGGGCAGAGACCGCGTGGAGGGTCCCGGTGAGCCGGAAAGCAGGGAACTGGGAAGGGGCGTTACCTCCCGTATGGCGGAGGGTGATGTCCGGAATCTGGGTTCCTTGTGGCCTGGCCGGCAGCTGCGTGAACACCGCCTCGCACACATAGGAGCTGTGGTCGAGGGAGGGGACTGGCTACCCGGGCACCTGGGCATGGAGGGAGGGGTCTGGCTGCACGGGCACCTGGGCATGGAGGGAGGGGCTGGCTGCACGGGCACCTGGGCATGGAGGGAGGGGGCTGG